TTACCTTGGGGCCTTAGTATCTCCTGGCATTTGATTCCAGGACCAAATTCCAGATCCCAAAATCCATGAATAATCAAGATCCATTAAAAACAATGGTGCAGCAAAATGGTGTCCCTTGTATAAAATGGCAAAATTAAGGTTTGTTTACATATATATATATATATATATATATATATATATATCCTTGGATGGTTGAATCCATGGATACAGAGGGTCACCTCATCTAGTTTTTGTGAAAGCATCTCTAAGGGAATCCTAGGATTTGTAGTTTTACAAGCTCTTTAGCCTTCTCTTCCAAAAAGTGCTTGTTGAATCATTATAACTATGTAGCCCACAGTCTTTGTGCAGCTCTGCTGTATGGTTTTGTCTTCAAATCCCTGGTTCCTTGCTAATCCAGATGTGGATCTGGTACTTCTATACACAGATTGTCCGGATGCATCATCTTGGACCACTAAGCCACCATTTTGTTCCCTCTTAACTGCAGCCCTTGGGAAGCCTCACAGCTGCCGATGGGACAGGCCCTGAAAAGGAAAAGAAATCTCCAGTGCCCCAGGCAAAAGGAAGAGGGAAAGGAAAAGGAAAAAAGAAGGGAGGGAAGCAAAAGGAAGAGCCGGAGGAAGAAACAGATCCAAGGAAACTTGAGTTACTAAACTGGGTGAGAATAAAAAATGGTTTCAAATATTTATTTATTTTTCATTTTGGAATATTTTCAAGAGGAAGAGAATACAAACCTCCACACTGACCCAAAAAAGGACATAAGGTGACTTAACATTTGCGTGTGTCACTGTCAGGGTGCCAGGCATTGCTTGGCATAGGTTTTCATAGATTTTAGCTTACCTTCGCAGGTGCAAGACGATGGACAATCCCCTTCTGATCCACAGAGGCATCACTGGGTTTGGCATTTTCATTCAGTGGTGTATTTTGTTTTCCATAGGTAAACTCCCTGGAACAAGCAATGTTGGATGCACTGGTCTTGGATCGGGTGGATTTTGTGAAGCTCCTGATTGAAAATGGAGTCAGCATGCAGCGTTTCCTCACAATCCCACGGTTGGAGGAACTTTACAACACTGTGAGTGAACACGGTGGGAATAAGAAGATGGCAAACATGGGCCTTAATGCAGGGATGGGCAACTGCAGGGATGGAGGTAAGGTCACTAGAGTGAAATCTCAAAGACTTAGCCATGTTAGTCTGGATCAGGATGCAAAGGGATCTTGTAGCACCTTTGAGACTAACTGAGAGGAAGAGGTTTGTAGCATAAGCTTTTGTAGACTGAAGCTTCTGCCACACTGCAGAAATTTTGACACCAACTTAACTTCCGTGGCTCAGTGCTATGGAATCCTGTGATCTGTAGTTTGGTGATGCACCAAAGCTCCTTGACATGGAAGGTTAAATATCTCACAAAACATGGCCAGAAACTGGTGTAAGCAGTACTTTGAAGATATCATCTGACAGTGCCTGTCTGTTGCCTTTTCCAGAGACTGGGTCCACCCAATACCCTACATCTGCTTGTCAGGGATGTGAAAAAGGTAAGATAATTCGTGTATGTGTGTAGGACGTGGGAAAAGAGAAGTTGAGAAGAGCAACATATTTTTCAGAATTGTGTTGAGTGTAGACATCATTGAGAAGAGTGAATGTGATATAATGTGGCAGCTGGTTGTTGGGTCACACAGAGTCACAAATGTTTTCCTGGGGGGCAAAAATCCCAGTTTTCTGTTCACAGTCAAGTAAAATGATAGAATATGGGATGCAATCATCATGTGCCATGCCATGGCAAAAACATGGAGTAGCTGACAAGGAGGACTCAGCAATCTGGCATCTGTGGGTTTATCTATAGTGCAGTCATTCTCTGTCTCTACTGTCTTCCACTTTCTAGCATTATCATCTTTTCCAATGATTCATGCCATCTCATGATGTGCCCAAAGTATCATAGCCTCAGTTTAGTCATTTTGACTTCTAGGGAGAGTTCAGGATTTATTTGCTGTCCAGCCCATTTATTTGCCTTTTGAGGCAGTCTGTGGGGTAAGAATGGGGTGTAGGGAGTTAGTAAAGATGGGTTTTCTCCTTTTCTCACAATACTAGAACCTAGGAATCATCCAAAGAAGGTGATTGCCAGATGAAAGAAAGGAGGTCTTCACCCATCATATAAATTTTATTTATTTATTCTTAACTAATGAGCCGTGGGGAAGATCACTATTTTTTATTAGAAATATTCATATACCAGAAAAATTCTATCCAGGGCTTTTAACCTCCACGGCTTAATGGAAATGCCAATGTCCACCTGCTGGAGGCATATGCCAAGGAATGGTTGTTATCTTCATGCCCAGCTTGGGAAAGTTCTTGACTTCCTCCACCAGTGTCAAACTGGTTATTATTGGAAATGGAAAGCTAGGCAGCATTGGTCTTCTCTAGTCTGATCCAGTAGTGCATTTTATATATTGTTGTGTTAACTGGAGAGAAGAAGATTATCCAATCAGAAAGAGCATATGGTGGGTCACGTTGTACATCTTGTCCATGATATGAAGTCAATGCATGTTGTGTGTTCATCTTTCATGTTTCACCATCAGCAATTTTCAGTGTCGTTAACATCCCATTGTATGTTTCTCCATCTCTCTCTCTCTCTCTCTGCTTCCATTGCATTCCCCTGGCTCTTTCTCATTCAGCGACAATCTCGGGGATTTCGATGGGTTAACATGGAGGTGAATGACTCGCTTAGAAGTGGCATTTTCGCCTTAGTTAGTTGCTGTCTCGTTTGTCATAGACTAGACCCATTGCTCTCTTATGCACACAAAAGGCGTCCAACAGTAGAGCATTGTGTTCCCGTCAAAGCTGTAGGATGTGTGCCAAGTTTTAATAGAAATGTCCAATCTTCAGCAACATGACAGTAGAGGCTCTACAACTGCCTTGTTTACCAAATCTGGATGGTGGATTAATCGAAAGCTTGTTGGGCTTTGAGAGATTGTGAAGTGTAGTTAACATGGGTTTCCTAAATAGCAGCTGGCTGTTGGATTTCTAACCAGCATAGGATCTTGATATCTCTCTAATGAAGCAGAATCCAGGAAGCGGATGACTCCAAAATTAATACGTGGAGGAACATCTGCTCCCAAATTGGAGCTTAGGGCTTACCATTGACTTTCATTCCTGATTCTCACTCCTGTCGCTCACTGTTCATGAGAAATGCTGGGTGCAGAGTCTTCAGCTGAAAGTCTTCTTCTGGAACCTCTTAGTCTGATGACCTTCCCATTAACCAAGGCATTGGGCTTCCTCAACCAGGGGCCCATGCCTTTTGTTTCTCTGTAAGAAATGAGCCACTGCCAAAAAGTGAATGAACAAACAGGAGAGATGCTGAGAAGACTGGAAGGAACCTTCACAATCCCTGTCAGAAATGAGAGCTGCTACAGGCACCCAGAGACTTCTGAACATCATGAGATGCCAAAGCTTTCTTTAGAAGTAGGATAGGCTGCTTTGGCAAGTCTTCAGTTACCCTTACGGTTGATTATTTTGCACCATGTATATAGCACCATCAATGTACCTGCCAAAAAATCCCCAAAAACTCCTAGCCAGTCCTGCCAAAGGCATCCAATCAAAAATATATACAGTTATCCCTCAACTTTTGCTGGGGTTAGGGATGTAACCCACACCACTGCAAAAGTGGGGAAAATGTAAATATAGGCACGCTATTTTTATTGATAGATAGATACCTGAGAGAATAAATATATGATCTTCCTGTCTCTATTATTCTGGGAAACGATGACATTTCAGTTGGTTTTTCCAGGGCAATCTGCCTCCAGATTACCACATCAGCCTCATTGACATTGGCCTGGTGCTAGAATATCTCATGGGGGGAGCGTATCGCTGCAACTATACGCGGAAGAGCTTCCGAACCCTGTACAACAATTTATTTGGACCAAAGAGGGTAAGAATCAGTTGAACCTATCCAATATCCTTGGCTCCTCAAAGGAATTTCACAGCTGTTTTGTCTCCACAGTCAGTCTTGTGCAGAAAGTGTTAAGAGTTTATCTGAACTACCGTAATGTGTATAGAGATTTTGTAGCACCTTTGAGACTATCTGGGGGGGAAAAAGAGGTTTGTGGCATGAGCTTTCATAGACTTTAGTCTACTTCTTCAGATGCTTACGGTGGATTGAAAGCCAGGGACAGAGAGGAGTGCAGGAGTTTAATTGAAAATAACTGGAAAGGAACATTGGTTACTGTAATAATAATAATAATAATAATAATAATAAAAAATTTTATTTCTACCCTGCCTCTTTGAGCGCAAAAGTTAAAATTACAAATTATATAATACATCCCATGAGCTCCACATGATACGTAGTTTGCAAAGGGCTTCCCACACATAGGTCCTTAGGAACAACATCCCGTTGTTTGCACTTGTTGAGAAAGAAGATATCTGTCTATATCTGGGCAAGTTTCTTGAACAAGTTGATGGATTTCCATTTCATTCGGCTAAATTTGGTGCGTTCCACAGTGGTAGAATTTAAAGTCTACAAAAGCTCATGCTACAAACCTCTTTTTTTTCCAGCTAGTCTCAAAGGCGCTACAAAATCTCTATACATATTAATTCTACAGACTAACACGGCTATATCTTTACATTCTACCGTAATGTGCTTCATGTGGGGCTGCCCATGACAATCACTCAGAAATTGCAGCTAGTGCAAAATGCAGAGGCTGGATTGCTAACTGGATCGCCATACAGAAACCACATAGCACCAGTTTTAAAGGAATTGCCCTGGGGGCCTCTATGCTTCTGGTCTGAATTCAAGGTGCTGCTGAGAACATTTAAAGCCCTAAATGGCTCCAGACCTCAATACCTGAAGGCTTGTTATTTCTGTTGTGTGCCTTCATGACATTTCCAACTTACGGCAACCCTAAGGCGAACCTATCATGGGTTTTTCTTTACAAGATTTGTTCAGAGGGAATTTACCTTTGCCTTCTTCTGAGGCTGAGAGAGTGTGACTTGCCCAAGGCCACCCAGTGGGTTTCCATGGCTGAGCTGGGATTTGAATCCTGGTCTCCAGAGTCATAGTCCAATGGTAAAACCACTATGCCATACTGGCTGTCTATACATGAAGGATTAGCTTTCTCTATATATTTCTGCATGAGAACTGTTGGAGGAACCATCTGCATTGTAGAGGACATGGGCTAGAGCCTCCTCTATTGACAAATTTAACACTGTTGCATAATAAACTAATATTTCCTTCCTTCCTTCCTTTCCTCCAAAACATGCAGCCGAAAGCTCTTAAGCTTCTAGGGATGGAGGTAAGCTTTTGTTTTGTCACCTGAGTCGAACTCTCCACCTCTCACTTTGATTCCCTAATTTTAGAAGCAAGCGTCCAAGATATAACTGACCGATGGTCCTCCTAATTGGTTTGCTTTTGCCAGGTTGCACCTTCATAAAGTGCTCTTTCTCCAGATAAGGATGGATCACGATTCAAGTTGCAAATAGAAGGTCAATCCAAAGATTAACCTTCCCTGGGCATTGCAAGGTCTTGGGTGTGTTTGTGTGTACTGCACAGCTGTTTTCCCATCTGCTCTGATAATGCCTATCCCATTGTCCTGGTTTGACAGGAACAGTCCCAATTAATCCTCTCTCCTCCCACTATTTCATCTGCTTTAAAATGTCCCGGTTTCTCTCTCCTCCTCCCACATTCCCCCACATCCTCAGCTTACTTCCATTGCTGCAAACTGAGTTCAAAGTGCAAAAATAGTTTATACTCAATTAACTCAGTGAGAGAAAGAGAAAGGGAAAGGCTAAATCTTGCCCTACCCAGTAGACTCAGGCAAAATCAAACTGCTGCAGGATCTGCTAGCTTGTGCATTCTTCCTCACTAATAACATTTGCCATCTTCATTTGAAGAATATGGGAAACCTCCATAAATTTACCAAGCTTCTTTTGACCCACAAAGTTATAATTATTTCTGGCGTACTCTGTATTTATTAAGGTACATAATAAGAGTTAATGACATTAAAATTGGACAACAAATCATAAGCAGGAAAGTAAGAGGAAAGACATAAAATTATTAATGTAGGAGAGGAAAAGAGTAGAAAAATGCAGAAAGCATTCAGTTTAGAGGAAGAAACTATATTAAGATGTTATAAAATTAATGTAAAATCTGGTGAACAGTACTATGGAAACTTGATAATATATCCTACATGCAAAGCAAGTATTTACAGAATATGTTAGAATAGGTTACAAGTTTTTAAGCAAGATTAGATTAATATCGGAATATCACCTTAATCTAATATGAAGTACTAAGGGAAGTTGGTATGTATAAAGTTGGAAACACATATAATTTCTTATTAAGATTTCTTTTGTATCCTTACATACTTATATAATTTGATGTTTTTAATGTTAAATATGTACTAAAAATAAAGTTTTTAAAATAACATTTGCCATCTTGATCACACTCTGCTTGGCCATATGTGTCCTAGTTTTCACCTATGAAATGTTGGAATATATGTCTATACCCACCAAACATGGCATTAACCATGGATTGGGTCCACTCTCTTTACCTATGCAGTCTTGTTCCATTTTGGCCTAAACAAAATCTGCATTTTATTCGAGCCTGAGAACCCATCTCAAATTTGCTAACTATCCCACTAGGATAAAGGGGAATGTTTTTGCACGAAATATCTAAGCCCTTACTCCAAAAAGGCATTGGCACACATTGTTATATCACAGTGAAAATCACTTATAAAACTATATAAACACAAAGCCAAGCCCATTGCTCTGAAAGCTGGTAAGCAGCTTTGCGATGCACAAAGGAAGCATCAACAATGCTTAATCTTCTTTGAAATCTCTTTGTCTTTTCTGGAAGCTGCAGAACAAACTCTCTGGCTCTGCCAAGATAGAAGGTCTCCTGGTTTAGCAAGGCCCAAAGCTAGAGTTGTGTCATGCATAGCAGCACTGGCGTCAATAGGTTTAGTGTCACCCAGTGTGGAAACTCATGTTGTCACCCCTATGGACCTTCGGGGTGCAGATAGGGTCACCCCAGGGAACCTAGTATCCTGTTGCTGCCATCCCACCAGCCAAGAATATGAAGATAGTATGCCCTCCTGAGCAAGAACAGTTTTTTATTTGCAAAAGATCTCCATCCTCAAGGAAAGAAGTCACAGCAAACAGTCCCCCGCAAAGGACAATGGTGGAAAGAAGCCAAGCAGATCAGCAGGGGAAGGCTGAGAGAGAGAGAAGCAAAGAGAAAGATCAGCAGCTTCATCCCAACCTTACTCCTAGTGGGATGTGAAGCATAGTTCCCCCTTACTTTCTGAAGGCTGGGACACTTCACTGCCACCCAATGTCACCCGCTCTGATGGTGTCACCTAGTGTGGTCCGCACTCCCCATACACCCCTATTGACACCACTGCAGAGCAAGCCATGCATTGATGAAGGGCATATTTGCTCATGATTCTCCTCCCAAGAGATAGTTCAAGGGTAGGCAACCTTTCCCCTTTAAGGGCCGAGGGACTTCATCTCCCAGAAGCCTCAGCCATGTCCCATGTTGGCCAATAGCTCCTGGGATTCTGGGAGCTGAAGTCCCTCGGCCCTTAAAGGGGAAAGGTTACCTACCCATGGACTAGAGTCTTGACAGGGAGAATTCTGGGACTTCCCATTGTTCTTATGATGACTCCATGGAGAATAACTCCATGGAAAGCCTCTTCATCCTAAATCATCAGGCACAAACCTTGGAAGTAAGGAGCTACAAGTAATGCAGCTACCTGTAACGCCTTACTTATAATGAGATTATATTTTAAAAGCAATGTAATGCATAAAAATGAATGTATTTGATTGGTGCAATGAGTTTCTGAAAAGCAATTTTTTTATAGTTTATTATTATTAATAACAAAGATATACAGTACAATACATCTGCAATACAGATACAATACAATACAAAACAACATGGACAAATACATAAATGACAAACAAAAGCAATTTTAACATTAACTGTATTTGTTTCAACTTTTCACCTTGAATCACAATTTTAGAGAAAATGTGGGATATAAATGAAATGATGGTGATGAAGCATGTTTTGAATCATTTTAATTGGAATGTTTTCAGATTTTATGCTATTTGCTTATCAGTCTTAAGGAAAAACATTTTTTTAAAAAAAGCAATGTAATGCATAAAAATGAATTTATTTGATTGGTGCAATGAGTTTCTGAAAAGTAATTTTAACGTTAACTGTATTTGTTTCAACTTTTCACCTTGAATCACAATTTTAGGAAAAATGTGGGATATAAATGAAATGATGTTGTTGTTGTTGATGATGATGATGATGATGCATGTTTAGAATCATTGTAATTGGAATGTTTTCAGAATTTATGCTATTTGCTTATCAGTCCTAAGGAAAAACAACACATAGCACAAGTAACAAGGTACTTTCGCCCAGCTTTGCAATGAGTAACAGGGTGAATTTCTAAACATTGTGGCCAGAATCCTGTTGGATATTCCCAATTAGAGAAGACCCACTCAGTTTATTCAATAGGTCTACTCTAGTAGTAAGGCCTGATAATAGGAGTTACTCATATCATGGTAAAGGAATGAATGACTCTTTGCAAATGGCTTTCCAACTTGTCGTCTGGTCAACGGTTAGAACTTGGTTTTCTTCCTATAAAACCTCACATCCACCCAAAACCATGGTGTTTCATACCCTTGAAAATTCCTGCTCTGTTCTGCATGTCTCCCTTTCCCAGATCCTCCTTATTTCCATGTTGCTTCCCTATAGTAATGTTCCACCTTCCTTGTCCCTTTAGGAAATGGGATAGTCATTCCTTTGGTGAGTCCTGCATAAGTAAAGAGGAGAGATTCCCTGCTCAAAGGTGAAAGTTTAGCCTTCTAAGGACTCTTTCTCTCATCTTCTCCTTTCACGCATGACTTTGCTTGTTCTCTGCATGGTATCCAGAAATAAAATAAATGTGGGCATTCATGTTCTTGCTATCTTTTAAAAAAAGATTCCACTCGCCAGGCAATAACACCAACAATTTGGTCCACAGTAACCAAAGGCAAGCCCTAATAATGGCCAAAATAGAAAACAAAGCACCTCTTGCTAAAAATGTTGCCTGCAGAGTGACCTCTGCTGCGATTGCTATGAAAAGGCTCTCTTACATAGGTATACCTCTGTTAACAAAGAAGATGTGTCCCTTCTTGAACAGAAAATTTGGTAGCAGGGATATGGGAAGAATAGGAATTGGTTCTTACGCCACAAAAATGTACAGTTCAATTATGTTTCACCAAACCTTTTATCCAAGACTAACAACATGCAAATGTGCAATGAAACAATCAGGTCAAGTAAGCATTGTATAAGTAAGCAAGAACATTTTGAACCTTCCAAAAGTCACTTGAAGGCTGCTTCCAAAATGCATCCATGGATGGCTTTTTCTTTCACCAGCTTCCACTTTTCTAATGATTTTGATTTTGTTGGCCAAATGTATAGATCTATGCCTTTTTAACATTTCATGGAAGGCTGGTTAAAGAAGCTTATTTGTGCTTCCCCCTTTTTTTTCTTGTTTTGCTCAATAAGGGATTCTGGAGGCAGTTGCTCTTTATCTTGCCTGTTGTAGGAAACACACAACACCACAATAGGATTGTCTAGAGCAGAATCTCATCCTCCCTTATCTCAAGCTTTGCTGCATTGCTTACTGCAGACAAGCTCATGCAACACAACATGGAAAGTTTGCATTTGTCCAGCCCCTGCACCATCCTCCCAAGGATGATACTGCTAGAAATTTTCCATCCAGACAGAGGATTGGGAGGAAGGGGGACTGGGTAGGCTTAAAAAAATATTGGAAGAAGGAGCTTCACCATCAGAGGCTTTGTTAGCTGAGGTATGCCTGCATTAATAATTCACACATGTAATAATTTTGCATGCTAGTAATTCCTGATTTCATCTGCCTGTCTCCAACTAAGCAACAGTGCATGGACTTTTTGCTAAACAATTTCTTGCAACTCTTTCTCCTTGCCAACATATCTGTGGTGAGCAAACAGATGCCTTAGTGCAACCTTAATTCCCTCCTTCTTTCCTAGGATGATGAGCCTCCAAGCAAAGGCAAAAAGAAGAAG